CAGTCACACCACAGAGGATTCTAAGAGTCTATATAAAGTGATTTTATGAGCAGTTACTCAAGGCTTGCTGTCAGAATACTTCACAGACCAGAATAAACACACACCTATAAACACATGGTACAAAGTAAATGAAACCAATTTTGAAAACACACCTTTTAGATATATAAAGTATATAAATTTATTCGAATACAATTTGTGATATGCTTATTGTATAATGCCAAAACATATTCTACTGAATTATCACAACTCTTTATTTGAAGAGGGCCATGGTTAACTGTTTCCTCACCCCTTGTGGGGGAAGTACTAGGGATTGAACCCACAGATGCAACAGTTCTTCTATTCAAAAAAAAAACCTTTATTTTATTTATGTATTTTTTTATTTATTTTTTTAATACGGTGTTGAATATCAAACTCAGTGCCTCACACATGCTAGGTGAGTGCTCTACCACGGAGCCACATCTATTTTTACTTTTTAAATTTTGAGACAGGGTTCTGCTAAGATGCTGAAACTGGCCTTGATCTTTCAATTCTCCTGTTTTGGCCTCCCAAGTCGCTGGGATTACTGGTTGGTTATGTGTTTTGGGGTTCTCCCATATATTCTCAGGGGAGTGCCTAAATTATTTCACATAGCAACACCATTAGACTGAAATACTTATGATGAACAAAAATTTCAGATTGTTTTCAACAAAGCAAAACAGACTTCATAGAAGATGGAGTTAGCTAATTAGAAAAGACATGAAACAGATACCTATTAATTTGCCACATTGATTTCTTCTCTCCCACAAATTTGAGTTTTTTGGCTGATTGACAGCATTACTACTAACACACACATGCTCGTCTCTGGTTTAGTTCATTCGAACACATATAGGAATGCAGCTATTGGTTTTTGAAATTTTTTAAAGAATGACAGTCCTATAAAACAAAATCTTTTTAATAAAATTAAGTGCGGTGTTCAGAAACTTAAATATCAATCCAAAGCATTCCAATAGCAACTCCCTTTCTATTACTAAAAAATATTCACAAGATGTAACGTGCATCAGAGGCATCAATTGGGAATAAATTCACATCACAATTAAACACAGACAATAACCACACAAGTTTCTGGAGGATTTATTTCTGCTTCCACAAAGAATCTCAGCAAAATATCTACCTAGTCTTTAAAAAGCCAAATAATATTATAGCTTAATACCAAATTCAAGTACTGCTTATACTCTTTCTTCTTTTCCATATTAGAAACAATATAGCAAAGCCAGAAGTAAGGTCCAAATAAAAACAAATTTCACAGCTCTTAAAAAAATATACAACTGTCACTGTTTAAAAAAGCCAAGTGTGCAACTAACTGCTCTGTCTAAATTCTTGGTTTGAGGCACTCTTAAATGACACACACACCAAAAAAATCAAATAAACATTAGTTCTTGCAAATATAATGCAAATAGCATGCTAATTAAAGTATTCACAAAACAATGACAAATAGGGCTTTAGGACTTCAGTACATATTATTATGTAACTACAATACACATTAAGCAATCACCAGGTTGTAGGCAGGCCTTCCAAAAGGAGTTATTATGGTTTACCATGATCTGAAGACTGTGGTGTTACACCTAATCATGCTTTTACCTGCAACCAGGTATTTACAGATGTCAAGAAGTAAATGCTGGTTGTAAATGTAAACCTACAGTTCTGCCTAATAAATTGTGCAGTATCTGCACACTGTACCTCCCTGTTTTCTGCACAAACTTTCTAATCCAATATGAAATAAACAGCACAAGGTATGTTTTATGGACCAAAATTTTACTTCCAATTCATTTTCAGTACAATGCCCAGACTCACACACTTAGAACTAGACTTGTGTCAAGGGCTACGAAGTTAAAATTTAACACTTAGGAGACCCAAATAAATATCCTCAGGATTTCAATAAAAGTATAGATGTCTCAAAAAGAAAGTTCTAGGAGAACAATATTCAGTGCATTTAACAAGCAAATTACAGAAACCATACACAACTAACTAAACACAATCTACTCATTATGGCAAGAAATTCCAAATACTCCAATTTTTAAATACAAGGAGAAAAAAAAGAAAAAATATGAGAAAGTGACAGGGTATATAGATGCCATAAATCAATGGATTTTTCTATGAGTGCTCAAAAAAAATTCAGGAAACCTGGAGTAAAATCTTCTGGGCCCTTCTCAAGATGCTAGTTCAAACAGTAATGCAAGACACCTGACACCCCAGGGCAGCTCACAGACCTTCTGAGCAGTGAAAGGAGGGGCATAAATAAAATAACAGTCAAGGCAGGAGATTTTTCAGGGAGTTGGAATTACAACACTACAAGGTGTTTTCCAAGGCTGGGCCTAAAATGTCCATGGGAAAAAAATTTTTTTTCCTACCCAAAGCAGAGATCTGCATCAACAGCAACCAGGACCTTCTCCAGTGGTTCCAAGTGGCACCACCTACCCTCTCCACCAGGGAGGGCAAACCCTGCACACACATACACACCAAATGCACACATAACCAAACCCAACCAGCTCAACATGAAAAATACTGGAGGTTGGGAGCTGAAGGAAAAAGGGGACTGAGACGTACTTTTCTCAGGCTTACAGTATTCACAGTCACCAGAATGGGAGGGCTCCACATTCTGAAGGGGTGACCAAGATGGTGACAAGTCAAAGACAAGGACAATATTTGCAAAAGAATCACTGGAAGCCCCGAGAAGAAAGAGTGGGCAAGGATTCACCTTGCTCCTGGTCAACTAGGTCACTCTCACCAACCAGCTCAAAGTCCCAGTAACAGCTGAACTCCCTACTTGTAGAATAGCCACCAATGGCATGGCCTCCTTGGCTTACCTCACAGGCTGGGACCCGGCAGGCTTTGAGCTTGTCACCATCTCCTTCAGGCAGACCAGTCCGACGTGTGGCCATCATTTCATTTCAAATTGCAAAGAAAGGGCAAATCCTTTGGAGTCCACATTGGGGGTTGGGTGGGGAATGCCACCACACGTCAAAAGGGCAAGAATTTCACACCAGGCTGGGAGAGAAGATGCAGGGCTAGTGAAACAACGTGCCAGGGAATGAAGGTTTTTCAGGAGGCTTCCAATGCTGGCTTCAACTGACTCCACCGTCTTCTTCCATTTCTTGAGACTTAAAAAAAAAAAACAAAGGAGACAGATCTCCTTAACAGTCGATGTCCAGGCCAACTGCAGAAAGCGGTCCCTTCTAAGCAATGCTAACTCCGGGGGCCAAAAGGAAGCCCAGTGAGTCGCTCCAGCGTCTGCTCCTGAAGAGGTCCTTCCTACAACAGGGAGAAGTTAAAAGGGCATGAACTTTCTGCAGACACCGATCTTTAGCCTTGCCACATGTCGACATCAAGTTCGCGTAACCGGCACTCGGATTATTCGGTCCAAGAAGACGAACCATACAAGTGAAAAAAGAACTCATCTTTGCATGCATTAAGTTTTGGGGGGAAAAAATAAAGGAAAAGCTTATAAATTCAAGAGGGACACAGAAGAACGAGAAACCTCAGAATTTCCCGAGGGTTTTATCAAACACAGCTGGCTGCTGTGCAGCCTTCAAGAAAAAAAAAAATTCCCTGTTCAAGTGCATTTTATTAATGAATTTCCTGGGCAGAACAGAGGCAGTAGGTAGGTTCTGCATCACCCGGATACGCACACTTCAGGGAAGTTTCTCCCCACGGAGAAAACGGGATACTTTCCTACAACCTTCTCGCTCCCTTTCACCTCCCCAAAAAACAAACAA